CCCATACAAGCCAAAGTTTGATTCTACTGAAGTTGAGTTTATTGGCTTATTTACAGAGTGTGCCAATAAGGTCTACACCCAACATAGACAATAAATTGCCCATGGCCCCATACATAGAAATCCCCTTCAACTAACCTTCCCCAGCTTACATATTCTAGTACCACCAGGGCCCATGTATCCATTTGCAAATAAGGAAGAATTGCATAAGATGGTTGAGAAGAATGGTTGAAATCTCAGGTGAAAGTCTAATAACTTTCCATATGTTTTTCTTCTAATGAGAATATCAACACTCTATAAGGCAGTCTGTGATGGACTCTTGCAAGTAGGTACAACAGATCTCAGGCAGATGATAGGTGCTTGGTGCGGAGGACTGAACTTGGCAACACATAGTAATATCTCAATTTTAAAAAACACAGACTACACCGTTTTATGTAGAAATTTTCTTTAGACAAAAGTGATTTTTAAATCATATATTGTGATCATCTTTAAGAGGACTGAACTTGGCAACACATAGTAATATCTCAATTTTAAAAAACACAGATTACACCATTTTATGTAGAAATTTTCTTTAGACAAAAGTGATTTTTAAATCAAATATTGTGATCATCTTTAAGAAAAAAGATTTCAGAATGCTTTGAATACATTTTCTGCCTTATATGTTGGATTCTCTGAGAGCTTATACTAATATCTGTCTTCTTTATCCTCCAAATATTTCCTGTTTTCTTCAGTAGCTTTATGCTCTTTGTCTCTCCTCCACATTCAATGATAAAATCTAAGATTTCCCTCAGCATCAGGGAACTGATATCAGCCATGTTAATTATGTTCCTAGGTGTTTCCAATTTTTCTGCTAAGGCCATCTGATTTGAGTCTCCATTTTGCTTTTCCTTTAGAATCTCTTTTAACTTCTCTTTAAAAAATAGCTTATACTTGGCTATTTTACTAGCAGATTATTTTTATTGTTCTCATTGTAGGAAACTCGGGGATTTTCCTTCTTTAGATTATGTATTTTCAGAGCAGCACCTTGGAAGTTGGTTGCTGTAGACCATTTCTATCCTTCTCTCTACTTTAGATATCTTCCTCTTTGCCCTTCCTCCCCTCCTTCTTCCTCTCCTCAATATGTACATGAAGCATACACCACTATTCAGGAGTCCTAAGTCTCTTCTGAGAGTCAAAGCAAGCTCTTGACTATGAGCACCTTTAAAATCCCAAAACAGAATCTTTTCATAACTTATTTTATGTATTGTTGTTGTATGTGTATCTATGGTGTTTAGAAAGGCATACAAGCATCATGGTATATGTGTGAAGTCAGAGGACAACTTTGTAGAATGGACTTTCCATCTTTACATGGATTCTAGGGTTCAGATCATGAGGTTTGGGAGGTAAGTACCCTTGCCTTTTAAACCATCTCTTTGTGAGCCATTCACAAGAATATTAATCCTCAAAATAGTCACTGTTTGGATGTTGGTGTTATAACACTATGATATGAAGGTCCAGAATTCCAGTTACAGGTTGGTTTTTAATGACTAATATTAACTGTTCTAGCAATAAACATAATTCATGATTTTTCATTTTGTCTTTTTCTTTTATTTTTAAACCAGAGTCATTTTGGAATTCAGCTTCCTTCAACACTGAGGCTTCATACCTTCATTTCCCAACTTTCCATGGAGAGCTCACTGCTGATGTGTACTTCCTTTTTAAGACTACTGTTTCCTCTGGTGTATTCATGGAGAATCTAGGAATCACAGACTTCATCAGAATAGAGTTGAGTGGTAAGCTCCTAACTACAAATGAGTTTGGGGATACTTGCTATTTAGCAATGAAAACTAACAGCAAAATTTCAAAATTAGCATTCTTACCTCATTTGAACTCCAAATTGCATTCATATTGAATATTAAAATTCATTGATTTTCAGTCAATCATTTTCCAAGAAAAAGTCAAACTATGAAGCATAAAGCATGTAATCAACCATAAAGCATGCAATAAATAAAAAATAAACCAGGATGTTATACATTATTTGATTATAGTTGAGTATAGTTAGAAGTTAAACCAAACTCATCAAATTGCTTACTAAATTATAAAATATTTAACAGGATTTTTTTCATTCACTCAAAGCTCAATTTATGACTTCCAAATTTTTTATTTAGTGTTTTAAAAATTAAATGAAGTTTTGGAATATTTAAAAACAAAACTATGTACACATGTAAAACAAATTCTATTTTCTATTCTAGTTATGGGCACATGCCTTTATTTAGAACTAAGCAAGATCAAGTTAGGATTTAACAAGAGTGACTAATGAATCCCAAGAAAAAAATAACATAAAATTATGCTTGTTTTGTCTTGCACTGAGATATAAATTTATTTTATCCTTCCTCCAACTCAGAGCCACTTTTTTCTCTGCATGGATGTCATTGTCTCCATTTATAATGAACATGTCATCATATTTTATTTGTAATGTCTAATATCTCCTCTATGAATTAACTTGATATGGATATATAATATCTCTAGCTCCCACAGAAGTGACCTTTTCTTTTGATGTTGGGAATGGACCTTGTGAACTCACTGTACAGTCACCTACACCCTTTAATGACAACCGGTGGCATCATGTGAGGGCAGAAAGGAATATTAAAGAAGCATCTCTTCAGGTAGATCAGCTCCCTCAGAAGACACAACCCACACCTACTGATGGGCATGTTCGACTGCAACTCAACAGCCAACTCTTTATTGGTGAGTGCTAATGCATTATGGTGGAATTGGTGTTAATTACAGAAACAGAGAAAACCATAGCTATGAAAATGTTTTTATGCCATTGATTGATATTGTGTGTGTGTGTGTGTGTGTGTGTGTGTGTGTGTGTGTGTTCATGAGATGTATGTGTGGAGGCCAAAGGTCAATGTCAAGTTTCTTCTTCAGTTTCTCTGTACTTCATTTTTTGAAGCATGGTATCTCACTGAACCTGGACCTCATCAATTTGGCAATGCTAGCTGAAAAATGGGTTCGGGGAACTGTCAGTCTCTACTCCCTAGTGTTGGGACTGATTACTGGTGCATGCTGTTACACTTAGGGTTTTTTTTTTTATGTGAGTGCTAGGAATCAAATTCATGTCCTAATGCTTGAGGAGCAAGCACTTTACCAACTAGACCATCTCCCCAAACCCAAAGTGCTTCTAATGAATACTGAGAACAGCTACTATGATTGGCACTATTTTCTAATGGTGCAATAGGTCCCAGGAATGTGTGCTGTTGCTTCTTATTTGACATCACATTTTGTAAGTATTGTTAGCTTCTTATGGATAAGATCATGGACCCTCAGAAATGTATAATTTATGCCCAAGATATTTGATGTCCAAGTTAGAGTAGCTCATATACAGATGTTTGACACTATAACTGTTTCATTTATTAACACACTTAGTATAATAATTACCAATAATTTGTGTGCAGAATTACCCATTGTTATCTTTAGTGGATTTAGAAAACTTGTCACCCAACTCAAAACACACACACACCAAATAATCCAATAAATGAATTTAACAGACAATTCTCAAAAGAAGAAATATTAATGGCTAACAAATATTCAAAGAAAGTGTTCATTATCTTTATCAATCAAGAAAATACAAACTAAAACTGCCATGAGAGTCCATCTCACCCCAATCAGAATGGCTATCATCAAGAAAACAAATCACAGTAAATGCTGGTGATAATGTGGGGAAAGGGGGAACTCTATTCACTACTTATGGGAATGTAAACTTGGCAACTACTTACATAGCAGTATGAAGGTTCCTCAAAAATCTAAAAATAGAACCATCATACAATCCAGGTCTGTACTCCTGGGTATATACCCAAGGGATTGTAAGTCAAATACTGCAGAAACACCTGTATGTTGATGTTTATTGCTACACTATTCACAATAGCCAGCCCAGGTGCCCATCAGTGGGTTGATAGATAAAGAAAAATGTGGTACTTATATACGTGGAATGATAGTCCATTAAGAAGGATGAAATAATTTCATTTACAGGAAAATGGATGGATCATCATACTGATTAGTCCAACCCAACTAACTTGTGTTTTCTTTCATATGTGGAAGCTAGACTTTGTACAAGCCTTCCATTGTTCTTGTCTTGCATTTCCTGTCTCTGCTCACCATCATCAGGCTCTTGTGTCCTGTGCTTATTACATACAATTGGGTCTTATTCCCTTCTTGTTGTAGTTCATTTGTTTAAACATCAGAGTTGTGGGTGCTATAACCTTTTTCTCTAGCGTGCTTATTTATTTCTTTAGTGTTATTTTTCTCATAATGGAAACTATGTTTTTCTATGTTGCCTTTCAGACTACTCCAGTCTTAGAAACCAAGCAAATTAAGGTCATGACTCTCACTTGTTTATGTCTTATGCATCTTAAAACAAAGACACAATCTAACTAGGAACTTATAAATATGTGTGGTCATAAATAACCACACATCCTGATTTACAGAGGATATGTACAACTTCCAGGTACTAATTACTAATGATAAATTGAAAAATTCAAGTGTGTGTGTGTGTGTGTGTGTGTGTGTGTGTGTGTGTGTGTGTTCATATTACAAAGAGGGTTAAAATACTATGGATCCATAAGACATAGCTTTAAGCATTATAAGTTCCTAGGTTAGGGTGAGATGATCCTTCTTCAAAGAACTCAAAACCATCAAACTACCCAACAGAAGGAAGACACCAGTGAATTATGTGTACTAGCTTTCCATTACTGAAAGGAATACCTAGCTAATCATCTTATAAAGATAAGAGATGCAGGACCACCAGGATGGCTCAAAAAGTAAAGGCACTTGCTACCACACCTAATGATCTGAGTTCTAGCCCCAAGGCCCACATTGTAGAAGGAGAGAGCTGAGCCCCACAAGTTATCCTTTGAACTCTATATACTCACCATAGCTCATGCCCATCCCAACCTACTTACAAAATAAATAAATAAAATGTAATAAACAAAATTTAAAAAGTGGTCCCTTCTAGACTTTGAATTTCAGTCCAGAACTAGGCAGACCCATTGTAGTAATGTTTTTGAGGCAGGTGGGTTTTGTACAACATAGTGGAAGCAAATGGATAAGAAAAGTGCTCCCTGGGTCAAAAAAGTGAGAATGTAGAACTAATTAATCAAGGCTCCACAATCTCATTTGATACCATGCCTACAATAACATAAAACTTCCTACCAGGCCCCACCTCTTTAGGTTAGTACCACCTCCAAGCTGTGCCACGTTGGAGGCCAAGCATCTTAGGCAGAGGTCTTTGTAGAGTCCAGCAGAGGGATTGTTGGTCTTATGATTGATCACCCATGAAGTCATTTGATGTTCAAATTGGGGGTCCCTGCCATACACCAACTTGTAACACGAGTTCTAATTGGTCTTAATAATTAAAACTCATGTTACACTGATTGTATCAGAGTCCCTGGAGGGGAGCTCTAGAATCTGCAGCTCATGGAATAATGTAACACCACAACATCACTTACTATAATGTTTGCCCAGACAGTGTTGGAAGCCTCTCTAAACAGATTTTTAGCATTCATGTTTGACATGATAAATGATCTGTGTAGGAGGTGTTTAATTTATGTTTAACACTGTTTCCTTGGAGACAGGCGGATGGAATAAGGGACAGCTTGGATAAGTGAGCATAGTTTCCTCCAGCTTTCCTGGCTTTGTGTTCCAGTATCTTCTTGAGCTCTGACAGCTCACCCAAGTAAGAAGTTAACAGAATATATTTACAATATTGTGAAGAATTTGAAAGGTCACATGTAGCCATTCTAATGTGTATCACTGCTCATAAGCATAAGTAAAATGATGCTTATGCGGTTTATATTTTGTGAGGCTAAAGAATATTTTATAATGAACGTTCACCAATGTCAATATTTTTATAAGCTGAATGTTTCATTCGGTGTCGTGTAAGTTTTCCTGATGTGTGATGAAAGTCTATTTTCACCATTTTCTATGCAAAGAATGCTTCTGACAAATTTCAACTTTTTTTCTTGCCTCTTTCTATAAGACCTGAGTTTGACATGGACAGAAAATCCTAAATAAAATTCCAAGGAACACATTTGTATTTGCAGTGTTTCCTTTATAGGGGGGACGGCCAGCCGGCAGAGGGGCTTCCTGGGCTGTATCCGGTCTCTGCAGCTGAATGGAATGGTGTTGGACCTAGAGAGAAGGGCCACAATGACACCAGGAGTGGAGCCAGGATGCTTGGGTCACTGCAGCAGCTATGGACACCTGTGTCGCAATGGTGGGAAATGTCAAGAAAAACACAGAGGAATTGCTTGTGACTGTGCCTTCTCTGCCTACGATGGGCCACTGTGCTCACACGGTAAGTATGTCAAGAAATAAATCATGGAGATGTGGGACCCTTCTAGTATTAGGCCTTTTAAGAAAGCATGAGATGATGTAGTTGTTTGCCTTAGAATCTCATTAAATTCTCTATTAAATTTGGAAGGTTTATTAATATCTTTGGGGAGCTAAAGCTGTTCTATAGATCATCCTTCTCTGGGTCGCCTTTTTGGAAGCCCTTAGTTTTTCTACTCCTGTTTTATGCTCAGTACTAATGTTCTTAGAACCATCTAGTTTCCAAAGTCATGCCCTCAAATTGTTCTGGTTTTCAAACCATCTAAGCATCATTGTCACCTATCACTAAACTCTAGGTAACATAAAGGGAATTTTTCATTAAAAATATTTATTTTTAATTATGCATGTATGTATGTGTCTGTACACATGAGTGCAGTGCTTGAATCAGTCAGGGAGTAGGATCCCTTGAAACTGTGGGAAAATGTACATTTAATTAAATATGACATGTCCCTAAAAGGATCACTCAAGCAAGGGTTGTAAGGTGTTTGGATGCCCTTAAAAAGCATAGTGGGATATAATATATCTCCTACTACTCATGATTCATTCTAAATGAAGGGGCTGGTTTGAATCTAGAGTGTACCATTCTACTAACTTCATGAATATGCTTCGTGAATATACTTTAATGGAACCCCCTAGAATACTGATTTCTTGAAACCAAACTCACTGTTATACACATCCTTGGGATATGTTTAAAAGTATAGGGGCTTTACTTTTTATAAAAAAATCATGTAACTTTCAAAGGACATTTGAGAATTAGTTACCTACAAGTCACTGAAAAGTTTCAAAAAGGGCTTGTGGCAGGAGAACCAGCTCAGGGAATGAGGAGACAGGAGAGTAGTCTAGCTCTCAGAAGCAAGACCATCAAGCTATCTCTATGACACTATTGTTTATTTACCTTGTTACCAAAATCAAATAGGACTTTTTAAAAAAGTAGAACAATTTCCTTGATGAACATAAATGCAAAATTTCCTAATAAAATCTTGCAAACAAAATCCAAGAGCATATTCAGAATATCATAAACCACGATGATGCTGGCTTCATCCTAGGGTTGGTAGGGTGACTCAATGCCTCTGAGGCTTGTTTCTCCATTCTAGATTCTTAATATATCAAGAATCGTTACTTTTTCAAACTTCACTTCCTTAACATTTGAAAAGTGAGAAAATCAAAATAGGAAAACATTTCATTACATTATCCACCAAGATATTTACAGATTGGAGTCATTCTTTAAATATATTTCATTTGACATTTTTGTTGCTTCCATTGTGTTAACATAATACATGTTTTTCATTCTAGAGATTTCTGCATATTTTGAAACTGGTTCCTCAGTGACGTATAATTTTCAAGAACTTTCCACCCTAAGTGAAAACACCAGTTCCCTGGCTTCTTCATTACATGGGGATGTCATACTGTCCAGAGAAACCATCATGCTGAGCTTCCGAACCACACGGACACCATGCTTATTGCTTTATGTGAGCTCTTTCTCTGAGGAATACCTTTCAGTTATCCTGGCCAACAATGGTGAATATCTTTTGAGTGAACTAAATAAGCAAACAAGCAACAAAAAGCAAAGAAAATAATAAAAAACATAAAAACATTAATTAGAAACATAGGGCTGTAAGGTCTATTCTACAAAGTCACATGGCTTTCACTTCAGTATTTCAGGACTATCCACAATGGGTGTCATACCTTAAGCTACTGTTACCTCCTGGGGTAATTGGGTCTGGTTCGTTTTCTCCAGGAAATCAATCATAGTCAAAGCAAGCAAATACATTTTAATGAAAGTAGAAGCAGACACACAGCAAAGCATGCAAAGACACTCTCACCACAAGTGAGGAGGAAGTCCAGAAATTGGAATTCCAATTTTGTTTGGCAAAGCCAAATTTTATGTGTTTGGGAATGGGATAAATTCCCTTTTACCTCAGAATTGGACTGTTTGAACTATAAAAAGAAATTGAATAATTCAGAAAAGAAAGGAGAGTTAATTGGTTCCCACCATATGAGCCCCTTTGTGGGAGATTTGAAAGTTTCACCAACAGTTCTCTACACTCACCAAGTCTTTCTGTTTAATGAGGGAGAGAACCAGGAAGTCAGCCAACTTAAATGTTTAAGAGAAAAGGACATTAATCTACCTAATCTTTTCACTGTCTGCATACAAGTCCCTCACTACCATTCCAAATTAAATTAAGATGCTTTTATAGTTGTATAGATTTGGTATGAAATACTTAATGAAAAGATTTATTTAATACCACACGATCTCTTTAGGACCACAAAAAGTTTGTATTATAATTCATTATGAAATAAGATATTGGATGTTGGGCATTATCTTCAGCTTATTCTAGGTTAATTAGAGAGTCATTAATATAGGTGATACAATAAAACTATATAAAAGCTAATCTCTATAAACAACCTACAACTGCAATAGTTCTTTATCTCATTAGTGGTGGAGAAACCAGTTAGAGCAAATGACAGTCCTTCTACTAATGGCAGCTGGGGCAGTCCAGGTTTCCACAATTGGATTATAACCCAGGGTATAAGTCTGTTAGATTTAAAATATTTAATTTCTATATAAACCAAGGCTTTATGAAGTTGTAGGATGTGGACAGTTAGAGTGAGCATATGTAGGATAGGCATATGTGTCTTCTAACAAAATCCTTTCTCTGTATTTTAATCATTTAAAAGAATTTTAGAAAAAATATGATTGTTAGAGGCATTTTAAATGAAATACATTTTATTAAAGTCATTGCAGTTAAACATAAATATGCTATAGCACGTATTTCTATAATTTCCACAAACAAATATCATAGTCATGATTTAGATTTGAGTTCTGAATTTTCATATATGTGATTTAACCCTTTGTTTAAGAAATTTGGGGAAATTGCTTATATCAGTGCATCTGGCTTTCACTTTAAAATGTGGCATATCTGAACTCACAGACAGCCCTGAAGTAATCACTATATCAAGAACATTAATTCTTGGTTGCTTTCAAGTCAATGCTAAAAACTTCCAAAAGTGCATTTAGTGAATAACCCTGACAGTGCTCTAGAATTTGTGCCAAGGGCTCTCAAAACTGTCACTATAATTCAAAATGTCATTATTTTCCTCTTTAGGAAGTTTGCAGGTGAGGTACAAACTGGACAGACATCAGAATGAAGATGCTTTTGACTTTGACCTTAGAAACTTAGCAGATGGACATTTTCACCAGCTGGTGATCCACAGAGAAGAAGCAGTCCTCTCTGTAGAGGTAACAGCCCCGAAGAAGCATAACCACAAGAAGGCTATAAGAATGAATAATTAAAGGTCAAGAACTCAATAATGAACATTAATAAAAAGCAATCCATTCCACCTCTCCATAAGTGAAGGATGGAAAGCCAAAGGTAGCCTTGATGTGGGAGACTGGGAAAAGGTTTTTATTTTGTCTTGTTTGTTTGCCAATCACTCTTCCAAAGTGATACACTGTAGCCCTTTGAAATGTCAAGCTATCCTTAGTTGTTTCACTTTATCCAGTAAGGAAATACATAGTTTATCATGGCAAATACAGATAGAATTTGTCCACTACTGTTCCAATGGTAACACATCCTTGTGTGATTATAAGAGAATGTATACTATAGCAAATTAAACATGCGAAACTTAAAAAATGAGGAAAGGGAGTAAGCTAATTTTCTCTGCCTTATGAAGGGAAATATATTTAATTTATTCGTAAAACTCTAGTTTTTAACAGTATATGCCATGTTTCCTCCAGAGAAAGAGTTTTGAAGTTTAAAGCAATTGATTCTGTGGCTAGAAAGATGGCTTATCAGTTAAGAGCAAACACTGCTCTTGGAGAGGACCCAAGTTTCATTCTCAGTACTTTTGCCAGAAAGTTCATAACTGCCTGTAACTCTTAACTTCAGGTGATCTGATACCCTCTTCTGACCTCCACAAGCACTGAACTCACTTACACACACACACACACACACACACACACACCCCTAAATAAAAATAAAATAAATTAAAAATAAAGCAACCAATTCTATCCTTTTGTGATTCTGCCAATTACAGACCCATTATGAAGAAAAGTAGAGTAGAGAAAGGGCCAGGGAGGGTGTGCAAGCTTTACAAGATGGCCTCCTACTCAATATCCTGTTTAAAGGGGATTTTTAAAGCTTCCTTGCAGCAGCTACAAGTAAGTGACCTATTGTTTGTCTCCCCCCCCATTTGCTTCCTGTGGGCATATCTTATAGGTTAACCAGAGTACAAAGAGACAAGTCATCTTGTCCTCAGGGACTGAATTCAATGCTGTCAAATCGCTTATATTGGGAAAGGTTTTAGGTAAGTAGAAGGCAGAGCTTTCCCTGAAAAAAAATTACATCATAAGTGTCATGTCACAGGCTCTGGAAGCATTCATTATGATGCAAGAAGCTCTTGGTTTTATTTTAATAATTATTTCACAGTGAATGGCAATCAAGGTACAGATTGTACTCATGTTGAGTGCATGTACAATCATGAGAAAGTGCCATCTGGCAGATCGACAGAGTCATCCCTTGAAAGAGCCTCACTTAGCAGTCACAGTTATGCATAATGAGGCTGCTCTTCCTCTGACTCTTCCTGAAAAGTGAAAACACCAGTGCAGACAGTTTCAGCACTAACCCCAGGGACTTCTCATCAAGTAATAAAAGTACCTGTGAGCGGAAGGTAAGGAAGAAATGCTCAATTTTCCCAGCAGATAAAAACAGAATGGGCTCCACCCAAATCAGCTTGTTCAAATGTCTGTCTTGAATGATTTTTAAACCACACTCATAACTGTCTATTTTATGGGAAGAAGACATAGTAATTAGTTATGGTACTGACAGGGTAACATTTTAAACCCCAGCTTAGCTTTAAATTTGATATCTTGGTAGCCAAGCAAAAGAATCTTTCTATAAAGAAAAACACCTATTTTTAACTGAACAAGGTGGTATATATCTATAATCCCAGCATTATAACAGCACCCATGTCCAACTGTTCACAATTGCCCATAACTCCAGCTCTAGGAGATCCATTACCTTCTTCTGGCTTCCATATGTCCTGGTTAGTTCTATGTCACCATTACACAAACTGGAGTTATCTGGGAAGAGAAACCTCAGTGGAGAAGATGCTTCCATCAGATGGCCTGTGGGCAAGTCTGTGGGGGCATTTTCTGGATTCTTAATTGATAAAGAAGTGCCCACCCACTGGAGGCAGTGCTACCCCTGGGCAAAGGGTCCTTAGTGCTAGAAGAAAACAAACTGAGCAAGACTTGAGGAGCAAGCCAGTATGCAGCACCCCTCCAGTTCTTGCCTCCAGACTCCTGCCTTGAATTCCTGCCCTGACTCCTATAATGGGTTGTGATGTGAAAACATAAAATGAAATAAATCCTTGCCTCCTTAAGTTGCTTTTGGTCACCGTGTTGTATCAAAGCAATAAAAACCCGAAGACACACAGGAGCACTTGCATTCACGCATACACAAATAATAAAAATACACTTTTAAAAATTTAGGTTCAAAAGCCAGGTATGGTAATAGTACATGCCTATAATCTCAGAACTTGAAAGGTGGAGGAAGGAGGACTGCAAGTTTGAGGACATCCTGCTTGTGTAATGAGACCCCAAACAGAAACAAACAAAGCATTTAAACACAAATTAAGCAAGGAAGCATATAACATGTTGAAAATGACTCCCCTAAATTATATTCAGCTTTTCTACTTTGTCTATACTTATAAATAGAAATAATAATCAAAATCACAATAAAGCACTTCATATATTAGACATCTATTTGAGGATAAGCTCTGCTCTAAGCCTTTTGCTACTTTCAAATCACTTAATAATTATAATTATAATTTTTGTACTAAAACGTATAGTTAAAAGAATTTTTTCTCCTTTAATTTACAATAAGATAGACCAACAAATTGAGTAGGCCACTAATAATATTCCAAAGAAATTTACCCAGGATGCTCAGGGGTAAATCATCAACATTGATTCTCACAACCTCTGGAATTCTTAGTCATTTGTTGGAAAATATTTGGTGAACAATAATTACACATACTTTGTTAGGCACCAAGCAAACTTAGCAATAGGAAGGACTTTTCACTCATTCTCCCTAAACTTAAGAATTAATAGGGAGCATGAGTTGATAAGTAAGCAATTATAACAAAATATTTCTCATACTCATTATCATTTTTATCATGCTTTAGAAAATAGGTCAGGGTTAACTATAATAACATGTTTTCTTTATAAAGACCATTATCTCAAGATCAATTCACATAAATTTTGTAAATTTCACTTTTATATTCTCTATATAACTTTGAATTTCATGAGATGAAGTATTGAAGAATGTGAACATTTAGCATGATGTAGTGGCACAGATCTATAATTCTGACACAGAAGGCTGAAATAGGAGGATTGTGAGCTTGGAACCAACCTTGGCTATATGAATGAGTTCAAGACCATCTTGGGATACATATAAAGACCAGGTCTCAAAACAAACCAACAAATAAGTGAAGAACATAAACACTCAAAAATCCATGAAAGATTACTGTCTCCATTTTGCTATTGTTTTCTTCTTTTTAAAACCACTGTCCTTTTGCCTTAATTAATTTTATGTATATGGATGTTGTGCCTGAAAGTATGTCTGTGAACCACATGTCTCTGGTGCCCTCGGGATACCAGAAGAGGAGTTGCAGATGGTTGCAAGCCACTGTGTGGGTGCTGGAATGGAACCTGAGCGCTCTACAAGAGCAGCCAGTGCTCTCAACTGCTGGAGCCATCTCTCCAGTCCCTAAACCACAATCTTTAAAAAGACATAAACCCAAACAGAATAGAAAGCACAGAATCTAAAGATGTATCTTTTTTGTCTTTCACCAAAAAATAGTGCAGTAGCTTTTAAATATGTATTATAACTACAGGCATGTGGGAATGCTAAACAATGTTGGTCATTAAATGTTTTTGGATCTGGGTGTGATAGGGTACATCTTTAATCCCAGCATTTGGTGAGCAGAGAACAAGCAGATCTCTATAAATTCAACACCAGCCTGGTCTAGATAGTGAGTTCCAGGCCAGTCAGAGTCACAGACCCTGTCTCAAAAACAACAACAAAAAATTTATAGAAGTCATCTTTTGAATGCCATAAGGAATGTCATATAAGGCTATAGCTTTAACAATTTAAGTTACTCAATCTATGCATTTTATGCCACCTTTCTCTATAAAGTACTCTATTTAGAAAAGATGCTGTATGATAACCCAGGGTTTGACTTTTACCTTTTACAAGCTACGTCAGCCTATAATTGATTTGATTTATGGATTCTGGCAAGTTTCCTAAGCCTCCTAAGCCAGAAAGGAAGGACTCTGCTACTCATGTCACATGAGCCTCAAAAGCACCAGTCATTTGCATGGTTTTCTAAAAGCCCTTTGGGGAAATGGCAGAATTGCAGATCAATGAATGCTGTTCGGGGCTGGGTTTGCATTGCTGCTGAATAACATGAGCATGGGGAATTCATGGATTGTTTTTCTATAGAAAGAGTAAAGAAGCATGTTCTTCATCCTAAAAGGACAGAGGACCTTGCCACTTCAGTATTGTTTGTTTCAAATGCAAACTGGAGAAATAACCTAGGTGAAGTGCTATCCAGTCTTGTGTTTCTTGATTTACCTGATAAAAACTTGCAGAGACACTCAGACACAGTCCACTCTTCCTATGTCACAGAGTAAATCCACACAAGGAATCTTTAAAATTAAGTGAGCTATGAGATTTTACATTTTTAAATGAAGATGAAATGTTAGATATATGAGTTAACCCTACTTTAACTTATCTTAAAATAAGTCAACTAGATTATATTATTTGTAGGCATTCCTTTAATGAAAACTGAGAGTTTTCCGAAGTAAGTCACTAACTGGGAGTCAGTAGGGATCATTTGTGGTTTGAGATCTTTAAACTCTTGAAATGTAGCTGGTGCAGTTGAGGGACTGAAATTTTAATTTTACTTCATATTAGTTAGTTTGAATCACAATGAATTTATGTGTCCAACTTATCACACCATGTGTAAGATGGGCTCACTTCTCTAGTCACTCATTTTAGTTCAGTTAAGTGGTGCCTTGTCAGAACCTATTCAGCATGGTGGTGCTCTGGGAAGACACCTCTGCCTCAAATGCATTTCATCTCAAGTGCTGGCCTTCCAAATTCAATGACAGAAATCTATTTCTCTGCCATGAAGTCTATATACTTACCCTAAGAATGTTGAAAGCAAACATCATAAGGTATTTATGCAAAGGAGAATTTACTCAAGAACATATTTCAAAGCAGAAAATGGGCACTTGAAAGGATCTAAAATCACAAGTAGGCAGAGAAGAGCAGAGAGGCCAGGAAGGAGTGCTTTTTTTTGTTATAGAGATCATCAACTAAAAAGAGGGTAAATGAAAGGTTTGAACAATGAAACTTTTTCACAGTAATTGGGAAGTAGAAGCCATGTGAATGTCCCTACAGCAAGAGTTGTTTTATGAAATATGTATTGTACTGAGAAATGATTGTTCACAGTGCTGGTTAAAAGCCAGAGTACTTCCGTCGCTCCTGGTCTCCTTCCTCAGCTATGCTGTGATTGCTTGCCTGATACACTCAGAGTAGGCAAAATATTTCTTCTCTTTTTGATTTGCACACTTAAAGTTTGCCATATTAAGGATAGGGGAAAGATGACTCCTGCTTCATCATCTTCAAATTAAACTATTGTTTAACATTAACAGTCAGATTTATAAGAAAATACTCTGCTAAAAGTGTCTTATTTTTCCCTAAAATCTGTGCAAAGTCATCACATCAGCAATAGATATCACTACACTAAATCTGAATAAATTAAATTGCTATAACAGAAAATAGTCAAACGCTTTTGCAATCTCAAAAAGTCAGTTCCAGGACAGCCAGTATTGTTACACAGAGAAACCCTATTTCTCAAAACACCAAAAGGTAGGAAGGAAGGAGAAAAGGAAGGAAGGAAGGAAGGAAGAAGAGAAAAAAGAGAAAAATAAGCAAAAACGAATGAACTAGAATTTCCAGAACTGTGTCTTCATTTCCTGGAGTCACTTTACTGTAAATCCTCAAATCCTTGGCTGTGAGTTCCAGTAAAAGTGTATTTTAACAGAGAGTTACAACCTCTTTCCCCAAGCCCCACATGGTAGAAGGAGAGAGTTGATTCCTGAAAGCTGTTCTCGGACCTCCACATCATATGCACACCACACACAAATAAACAAATAAAATGTAAAATTTTTTAAATTAGCTGTTTTAATGATCTGGTATGGAAATTAAATGAATTAAAATTAATTAATTTCAAACTAGTCATGGTAGTGTACACCTATAATCCACCGCACTGTACATACAAACCGAAGTTCAAGGTCATCCCACTATGGAATTTTATTACAAAGCCAACTTTGTCACTGGAAGCCACCACGGTTAAAGAGCTGATGGTGGTGAGCATGGCCACTCAACTACACTAAATCTGAATAAATTAAATTGCTATAACAGAAAATAGTGCTTAACATAGCAAATTGCTATAACAGAAGGCTGTGCTTTCCAGGAGCTTGTGACAAGGAAAGCGCTCCAGTCCTGCCTCTGGTCCTGACTGTGACCCTCTATCCTGCCCTCAGAACCCCTGGATGTTGACCCTGACACAAGACAGGCAGCAGCTCAGGGCTTCACTGGCTGCCTCTCTTCTGTTCGATTTGGCCGGGAAGTCCCACTGAAGGCTGCACTACACCAGAGTCAAGCCAGTGTCACCATTCAAGGCCAAGTGGCCGCTGTGTCACAGTGTGCAGAGAGTCCTGGCTCACCAGTGCAGGAACGGGCTCCAGGGCCCTCTATGGGTGCAGGTGTGTGTGGTCCTTCCCTCTCCCTGCCCCATCCCACCCCTACACACACACACACACACACACACACACATAGCAACCTGCTCCTCCTGGCAGTGTGTACAAGCATTCTGCTTCTCTCCCCTTTTCTTTTGCAGGTCCTTCTGGATCCACAGAAGATAGACAGCCCCTTCCTAACACAGACAGGAGTGACCCTGGGATTATCGGAGGTAAAGACATAAGCCAATCTGGTCTTTGCATTATTACCACTTTGACAAAGAGTTAAATAGTACAATAGAAAATGAACCAACATTCGATGGTGAGGTCAAAAAGCTGTATTAGAGTGTGTTGGTTTTTCTGAGATAATGTTTATGAATTGCCTTCTCTAGAGACTCTGAGTGTAATATTGGGGATTCTGAAAGAACAGTTACAAAATAGGAAAGTTCTTAATAAGAACTGTACTGACAGTGCTACCAGTCGTTAAGCCATCTGTACCATGGCTTGTGCTTTAGTACATATGATGCCTGTGGATTGTAACGTAAGACTAATGCTGGTAGTCCCAAAGTCTCCCACTCAGTTACCCTGACTTACTGCTGGTTCAATATATGCCTAGGGCTGAGAGTCACTGCTATCTCTGGGGTTTCAGGGTTTTGGAATTTTAATACCTGACTCTCAAATAGCCACATAAACTTAGTAAATACCATGTAATAGTTTTTGGTAATAAAGATTGATTTTCCATTGTTACACTACTATTTCAAAAATATAGCATCATAGAAGGTATTGAAAACAACTTCATGGACTGGTGAAATGTCTCAGGAGACAAAGTATTTGCCATATAAGCATGAGGATCTGTGTTCCCATTTCCCAAACCCACCTAAAAATCAGAAGCTACCTATAGACACAATAGCATGTGTCTACAACATATCTTTATACTCCTAAAAGAAGCTCAAGGGTAGAAAAAAAGAAGAATCCAGAAGGCCACAGCCAGCTAGCCTGACATACACAGCAATGAACAATGAGAAACTCTATCTCAAAAAAGGTAGAGGATGAAAGCTGACACTTATGGCTGTCTTTTGAACTCTACATGTAACTGCATAATTGCATCACATACACACACACACACACACACACACACCATCAGTAAAATGTACCCATTTAATTAGACTAACAGTAACGTTTACTCTACTTTAGTCTTAAGCACTAATTACTTTTTAATGAATTTAAAACTTCCATCCAGTTTACTGATGGGTACACATGGTCTTAGAAACTTGTGCATGTTTCTGCTTTTAAATCCAAAAGAATTTGCTCAAATACGATCATGCTTAGGGAAGAATAACAGCAGGTCTATCCCAAAGTAGTAATAACTGAGAATGACGTCAAACTGTTATAAAATCACATGACCTTAAAATCCCTGAGTTTAGGAGATCCAATATATGACATAGTATTGACTCTGTTGCTTTAACGTAACTTTCTGATCAGTGCTTTCAGTAAAGCTTCCAGCCGGGGCTCAGTATTTTGATTTGTGCTTTTCTTTTCTCTCTCCAGGAATAACAGCAATTGCGATATTTGTTTTGCTGTGTGTGTCTGCTATAACCATACATGTTCATCAACAGAGAAAGTTACGACAAAAAAATGAGTCAACAGTCTCAAAACCTGAAGAGTGCTAGGACTGCTCTCAGAAGTGAAGTGTGAGTTGACACAGAAGCAGTGTCTTGTTAGACATCGTGGCTGACCAGCCTTTTGACAGTCCCATCCCTCCCAACCAGTGTGTGCCCAACACCAGCTTCCAGAGGACTAACAGTCTCAGAATCTCCAGGAGACCGCCTTCTTCCTCAGCAAAACTCTCCCTCCCAGAAATGTACTAGAAAGGATATGGAGTCATCAGTCATGGTAGAGTTGTTCCCCCAGGTGGAATTCTCTTTTATGAAAAGGGTTTCAATTTGTGTAACCGTTACAAATTTTAGCTGAGAAACCAAGTGGCCATTTAGCTATGATCCTGCTTAGAAAATGACACAGAACTTTCATTCAAAGTAAAACTGTTGTTTGGTTGGTTTTTTTTTTTATTGCTGTTTCTTGAAAGCTTATCTGGGATCTCTTTGTTGTTCCTCTGAAAACATGTATAAAATAGATCTATTTAGCCTGTATCTCCATGGTCCTGGAATACAGGGTCAAGTGCCCTGTAAAAGAAAAAAAGTAAATAACAGCAACTTTCCTGTCTGCTGGCCAATACAAAGAGAGGCCTGGAAATATTTCTGGTGCATTGTTTTTTTTAGATAACCATTTTTAATCATTTTGATAAATTTCAAAGTTGAAATTGGTATTGAATGTTATGAAATTTTAATATTGGATTTTTAAATGGAAAAGAAAATTAATGGGCAACAAAAAGCATAGTGAATATCCACTAAGAGAAGCAGCTGTCTTATTTGTAATTATAGGTTTTTATAAATTATGGTTATGTTTTAAATTTATGGCCATATAAACTGTTTCTTATTCAATAACATTCAAGCCAAACATAACTCCAAAATATTGAAAGTATCTGTCAGCTTTTCTTTATTATTCTGTATTTCTATTTTCTAAAAGTTGTTACTGATATGCTTTGAATTTTTATGACTATACTGTATACAGAATATCTTTTTATTAGGCAAATTAGCTCTAACTGAAGAGCCCCGATTCCTTTTGGAATTGCTTTGGGCATAAATACTGTATATTATCCTCTCTGTCCAGTTGTTTTTACATTGTAAAATTAAGAGTGCTAACTCCAAGGAAACACAGCACTTGCATGATCTGCATTAAACTTACTACTCTACTCACAAGTTTATGATCACTGGACCAAATTCTCATAGATTACTGCAAATTGAATATGTGCTCTTAACTGAAGTATGTCTCACTAGGGATTCTACACACACAAAGAGCAGAAGATGGAAATAAATTAATGGAGACAGTTTCAGGAACTAATAATAAGGCAGTGTCATCTGGTAATTAAATAAACTACCATTTGATTTATACCTGTTATATTAAAAACAATGATGCTACATTCACAAGACTCCACATACCAACTACCTGCTAAGGACTATTTAGGTTATATAGCTCATCCACATCTGGGAAAGTTGGAAATTTCCCATTCAACATTACCACTACATAACTGACTTTCTATCTCATTTGTGTTATTTTTAAAAGGGGAATATATCACCTTTGTCTTAAGTCTGTTTCTAGCATTCTCATCTCTGTTGATGTTTATATAGGGGATGTTTTTGTATTCATACTGTATTATTGCATATGTGTGCAAAGACACAACTTCATGAATAATATGTGTTTCTGTGGGTTTTTTCTCAAAAGCCCTGTTAGAATGGAGGAATAGTCTACAAAAATATAGTTACTTATTAGTCAATATAGGTACCATACAGTCACTACAACATTTGTACACATTGATATTCCATTGAAAATTTGAGAAGCTAGAATTTCACAGGGATTCAGAAGATGAAACTCCATGTCTACTGTTCCAAATGTTTGACAAGACAGAAAAAGGAAAGCATCATTTAGCATCAAAATGTCATCTATGAACAGTTTTCCAAGGTGACTTTTTATTAGAAAATAAATTCATTTTTGGAAGAAAATAGGAAAAATATTTTAAGGGAAGTTGTGTAAAATAAATTCAGTTTTGAAATAAAATAAAATTATTTTAAGAAAAGTTGTATAAAACAAATTATAAGGCAATTTCCCCTAATTTACACAACTATTTTCATGTAAGTGCATTCTTACTTAATTGTATGTTAACTGTTAAGATCCCTTTACCTATTTATGATCTGATATTTATCAACTTGTAAAGTTTTCGTTTTAAGTTATTTAACATACCATGAAAGAAAGACAAATCTTTACTGACTGCTAGACCAAAACTGTATGAATGTATGTATTTAAAGATTTGTCAGAGAACAAATGTTCAAAAATAAGCTAACTAAAGTCATATCTTCAGTACTTTTGCTGTTGTAATAAGACAATACTAAACATTCTTTGGATATATAGATGTTAGTTGCAAATCACAGCCTTCTATGGTATAAAACTAAAAGTTTCCCCAAAATTTTTTTCTTTTTTTCTTTTTTTTTTCTGGTTTTTCGAGACAGGGTTTCTCTGTGTAGCTTTGTAGCCTATCCTGGCACTCGCTCTGTAGAAGAGGCTGGCCTCGAACTTACATCGATCCACCTGCCTCTACTCCCGAGTGATGCAAAATTTTGTTCTTGAAGAAGAAAATAAGCTCTTCATGTTGTAATATTATTGATACACCTTCCCAGTGAGGAATCACTCAACCCACTTAAAGATTAACAAAGGAAAGAAATCTTTAATGTGGCTCATGTCTAACTCCATCTAATGCCCAAAAGGGAGCCAGCAACAAACAGAAGATTTTGTTAGTTTATATACACCTTAGGCTTATGTATTTTATACACACTGTCATCCTTAAATATCTTTTAGGTCCCAGCCCCAAGTTACACTTTGAACAATTTAAACAAACAGGAGACTTCAAGTCTGGCCACTTGGGAAGATGGTAGATTTACATAGCAAAGATACTGCCTGAATCATTTAAGTGTCCTTCTTTTCTAACAGCTGTTTCCCAGGTTCATCTTGCCCACCTGACAACATTATGCTTCTCCTACAGTGGACTTAATGGCAGACCAGGGTGTAATGATGGTTGTAGCCCTGAACTGCTCCTTAGATGCATCTTTGATTGGCAGGGAAGGGATGATATGAGCCTTAACTGCCTGTTATAAATCAGGGTTGCCTCCTTTTGTTGTGGGAGTGGAGCCTAAGTGGAGGTCAATCTTGATGAAGAAACATTAACAGAAACTTCCCAGTAAACCTTTATAGTACAAACTTCTTTCCTACAGTTTCTAAAAAGTCTAGTTAGTATAATATATATCTTCCAGTCATATGGAGGCAGTACTCCTTTAGCTAAATTCTTTTCACAACTTACTGTTTCCTAAGCAAGTTTATCAGCAAGTCATTTATAGCATCAATTTTTACTACTTCAACTTTCTCCTGCATCAGAAGCACACAAACATTTCACTCAGAAACCATCAGCACTGTGAACATCACTAAACAACATTTCCCCTCCTGGGAGATAGTTTTGGAAAAATGTAAAGCTGTGACTTCTTGAAAATGATCAAAAGTGTTTTTACCAGGAACAAAAATAATTCATTTGGAAAGACAATCAGTACTCTGCTCACAAATGCATTACTGGAGGGACTTACTAATATATCTACCTTCCCTTCCCCTTTTATGAATAACATAGAACCTCAGGGCATGGGGAGGTTTTGCATTAGCCTGTGGTGAGTACTCAGCCCCAAAGGGCAAGGAATGGGCTGACAGCTAGTAGCTGCCTTGTGATCTTGTGCCCCACATTGAGCACTATATGACACATTTATCTGATTATTCTTTATCAGGAAAAACTTGGGAGTCAGATATCAGGGTAAGAACTTGCATGATCAGAGAAACGGTGAAGAAGTGGCCAGGGGCCTCCTCTTTCTCTCTCATTCCTTGATCCAAAAGGCCAAGAATCTTTCTAAATCCCTCCCTAATACTGCCTGTGTTTCTCTATATGTCCTAAGTCCTCCAAAACCTCTATGGCTAATTTTGGTTAGATGGTAGCTAGCTCCGCCCTCTGATTCAAAGCCAACTTTATTGTCAGTCTCAGGAGTGTCACAGTGCAATCAAAATATCCCACAACACCAGGGGGCTTTCCTCAGAAAATGATCTAGGCACATACAAAAACAATCAGAAGTCTCTGTTAGAAATCAGGTGGACAGTAATGTCTCTAGTGACAACACCCAATGAGTAATGGATGGAAATCAGTGGGTAGGAAGACAGGGAGACAGCTCTGTGAAATTCTGAGAGGGCCCATTGTGGAACTGATTCTACAGCTGTGACTTTTCACATAGTTAACTGCTATTGCATTTATTGGACCTACCACAATGTTCTGAGGAAGAAGTTGGGTTTGCAGATTCCTACAGTTGCTACATGTACCCAGCAAAAGCTCCAGAAAAAAAAAAAGAAAGCCTATCTTGTTTTTCATTATAGCTGTAATGTTCTGATTTTATCCTAGCAAGTCAAAACCAATCTGAAAACACACTGACAAAACTTAGGTTTCCAGTACTTGAACTTTATCAAAAAGAGCCCAATCAGGTTGGTGAGAAAGGAGAACTGTTAAAATACTGATTTGTGAACTACTTAAAACAGTTATGAAAAGAATTAGAAACGATGTGAATCTAGGGAGTGCTAAAGATAAATTATGATTTAGTTTCTCAACCATAAGTGCTATTGTGTCTTTGACTCTCATTGATTTTGCTGTGGGAATTATTTACAGGACTCTCTCAAACTGTACCCACCATCTTGAAGACCTGCTCATCCTCACAGTATGCTGTTGACAGTGGAAACTTTCCACCACAAATAGATGCCTCTCTCATGTCTCTCAAGAGGAATGGGTACCCTTAATAATGGACATGTATTTTCTAACTAAATACTCTGTGCTTTAGTAAATTGACAAGTTATTAATAAATACATAAGCACATTATTTTAAATACTAATATAACCAATTACTAATATTAATAATGTATGCTAAAGGAACTCACATTGGAAGTTTAAAATTGCACAAATATTTGAGTATTCATATTTATCATAC